AATTGTCTGAGAGTTCGACAACACAGAGCGTGGGTAAGAAAGCTTGCTGGTTAACGGTAGATCGCTTTTAACATATTTCTTTCAATCTAATCGTTGTTTTTGGCTATGTGTTTTTTGCAAATGGCACAGAAATAGTCTTCCAGCTATTTATGGCATAATCACTGCAGATGAATATTCTTGAAGATCACGTGCGTTTAACAATATGTTTTTTTTAGAAGTTCCAGTTTGCACTAGAAAAAAAGTATTATTTAAATTCTAGCTATTCAACAGACTCAAAACTGTTTGCTTTTGCGATTTTTGCGAATATATCACGCTACTTGTTAATTATTTTGTGATAAGTCTGATAAGCGCTCTTTAATTTGTTTTCTCGGTTTTTCAAAGTATCGTGCTATAAAAGCGAAAAAATTAATGCTGCCCATATTTTTCCCAATTTTTCCTAATTGTGGTTGTAGTGACTAGCTTCAATTATGTAGTTACTTGAATCTGCTGAATAGGTCTCGCAAAGAGCGTTGTTTAGCAATATATTATTCGTCATCTCGACATTGAGTTAATACATAGTAAATGCATGAAACGCAACAGCACTGAGCGACAACATAAAACTAAAAAACAACAATATTGGGTAACTGTGCATAACAAGAAGAAAAAGCAATTTCTTAATCGTCAGCGAAGTGCGAAAGATTGATATTTAACATGTTTTCTTTAACTTGTCTCTTTTACAGTTCTTCTCAGCACCTGTTTCCCCTTAACTCTTTTTACTTTACTTTCTGTTGGAACCAGTGTGCAGCAGCAGTAAACTTGAATGCTTGAGTTATAAAAACTCGATCTTTCTTTTTCGCTCCTTCACAACACTTCTGCAGTTCAATTTTGTTAGAGAGTGCTCTCTACTTTTTTAATGCACAGTTTCATGTAGTTTAAGAATATCTAACGTGTTTTTTCTGTCCTCTTTTTTGGAGTTCTTCCAGCTTTTCTCTGGGCCAAAACAGTTACACTAAGTTCCTCCTTGTAAGAGCTAAAGAGTTGCTAGAATGTGGAGATCAACCATAAAATTAAGTTCGCTTTTCTGCATCTTACACGACAAAGAAATGCTAGTTGGTCAAACTGACTGCAGTACGTGTAGGCTTATCTCGTGATTCTTTGGGTTTGAAAAACAGCTCTTCATCTTGTTTTTACCTCTTGGAAGACTCAGTGAAAAGAACTCGGGTGGTTGAATCTTATAAAATATGAGCTACCTTGAATGTTTCTTCTAAATGTCATTTTGGACGCAGATACTAATACCAACTTTAGCTACCTTTTATAGGCGACCAAGTGCACCAATCGCTCTTTTTTGATTGGTTGTGACGTGGATTGTTTACGTTATATATGATGGTCCCAACTAATAAGATCCTTGGACAATAAAATACACTATAAAAATTTCTAGTACAGTACACTTCTTGAACACTCAAACACAATAATTTTCCAACAAATTTGTTGAACAGAATTTACATAACACTCTTCTGATCAACAGCCATTGATATTCAGAAATAAAGTAACTTACAAAAAAAGGCAACTTAGAAGCATAGTTTGATAAATACGTATCTAAAAAACGAAAGAACATGATAAAAACCTTCTCATTGGTGAGTTAGAAATAAGTCTCAAAAATATAGGTTTCAAGATAGAACTTCTCCTTTTTTAGTTCTAAAGAAAGCGCAAAGCAAAAAACAAAATAGATTTAATTTTCTGTTTTTTTGTTAACAGCAGCAGTGGAAATAAGAAATGCACAAAGAAAAATATTGAATAATTTGGTTTTTTTTACTTTTTTTTTAGCTGTTAACAGCAGTGTACCGCCAAAATGGTTAGGATTCCAATAGGAAGGCTGTCAGACCTCTAAAAACTTAATTTATACTCTTGTTATATTGCTATTTTTAAAGCCTTTAAGCTTTAAGTAATTTATAGAGCCGACCTGCAATAGTTTCTTTTTGTTTTAAATGTCTCCTGTTATTCATTCAAAAATGTGACTAGATTAGCAGTTAGAGGTTAATGCTAAAACAACAGCTATTTCCAGTAACAGCTTATTTTTATTTTTGAATTCAGAAACCGGCATACATGTAAAGTCTATTCGCTGTTCACATACTGCGGCGGTAAGCTCGTGATGCAGTTCTTGAGCGTAAATCTTATTCTCTTCATCTGTATGGACTTTGTTTTGTGATTGTTCCTCAGACAGTTGTTTTATAATTGCGGTTTTCTAATTTATTTTTTTCTTATCAGTTTATCATTGTTCTTCTTTCACTTTCTTCTATCATTTACTTTTTATTCTTTAGTGCTTTTATTTGTGTAGATAATAAAAGTCAAGACCAATATGATAGGCTGTAACGGCACAAAACCTTTTCACTCTCTTTCACAGAAAGTTCTGCTACAGATTTACTTCATCTACAAAGTTCAGACAAAATTACCAGTAATTAAAAATGGTAAAACGAAAAAGAGATAAAGGTATGACGGCGGTGAGAGCTAAGGCGCTCTGAATAGATTTTTGCTCAAACACGTCACTGCATTTATTGTGACCACAATCAAATTTTAATATTGCAGAAGTTTTTGACGCTCTTTAATAATCGTTTTCAAGTGACTTTACTGAGGATATTTTCTACTACGCTGTCAACGGTAGCAAGTATAAAAACTTTCATTTTCTCTATAATTTTCCTATAACTTCGTCAAATTTATTTACATCTCGTTTATTAATCAACATTGTGAATTTCTTTACCGTATCGGCATGACCTCAACGTGCATTTTTTCGATATTTTTGTTATTTGGTTAGTGAAAAAGATTGAACACTTGCGCTTAATCTTTGTCGTGTTTAACGTCTTCCATGTCAGTCTTGTAACGTTCTGTTTATCAGTCTCTGTGACAACACTTCAAAGCTGACTGCTATCTCACTTTTGTATAATATTTCAAGCTAATCTTTGATTATGCTTTTTAACATTTCAGCTTTCATTTTATGTCTTCTTTTCTTATTTTCGCCGTCTTTTCTCTTATTTCTGTTGTCATTTTTTGATAGACAAGTTTAATATAATAGGAGAGAATTCTGGCTTTCATGATTGCAGCTTCTGCAATACTTTAGAAGTAGTCTTATTTTTTTCACTAAGCGTGATTCAAAAGTTTACGTCTCTTGGTTCTCTCCTAATATCAGGTGTGAATCTCTTTATAATACAATCTTTTATAGGCTTCAATGTTTCACCGTTTGTGCACTAGAATGATAAATCCATACAGGTTGAATTTTTGGAGTTTCATTACTATCACCTCGATAATACTACTATTCTGCGCAATAAATGATTTATTTTATAAATTCTCTAACGCAACAGAACTGATTGGCTGTTCAGTAAAGACGGTAATAATTCTCAAAAATACCCCTCAGTTCTGTAACAGAATTATCTGTGAATAAGTATTGTGAATAAATCAACTGCTTTAAATTTTATTTCTTCATATCAGGCTTGAACTACTGGTGTTAGTACTTCATTTTCAAAAACAGATGCATCTGAAAATTTGGACGTTAAAATTGTTTAACAGAACTAGAAAACGGCGTTAAACTGAATGTAGTGGTCGTTACAGTAGTATTCTGTTTAATTTCAAATGTCGGCCACAAATGACTGTTCTAACTACATATTGCACTTATATTTTTTCCAGATAAAGAAAAGTTCGGAGGACTTGCTCGTGTTAGATTATTCAATTGACCCTGCACGAAGATATAAAGTAAAGACTCACTTCACTTTTTTTCTGAAAAGACACTCATTTTTTCATCTCAGTATGAATTTTAAAACACTGAGAGCAGAAACCGAATGAAAGAGTAAGAAAAATTTGACTACAAAAGTTTCAAAAAAAGCGTTTTTTTCTTTGTTCTGTATTTCACTACAGAAGAAGAAAAGCTACAAAACTAAGATGATCTGTATGAAAATCATTCAGTTGTATTTCGCCAACGCTTACCTTGTAAAAGACAGCGAAATAAAAGTAACGGTTTTAACTAAATGCCGATACCACCCACAGCTCAAAATGCGAATTGGAGAAGCCGAACCTATTAATGTTATACTACATCCCTTTGAAAAATGCCCAAACACCTTTATGCCAAGGTAAAATTCTGCTGGTCTCTGAAATAAATTCTCTCTTTTTTTGAAAACTGTCTGTGAATTGACCATTACCTTTGACTCAGCACAAAAAAATTGAAGCTCTTGCATTTTGACAGCCGCATACATATTGTTTGAAGAGGAATCTCTTTTGAGGCTCCTCCCCATCGCAAGCTGCGACTACAGCGGCATCGCAGTCGTCGCAGCTTGGAGCAGCCAAGGAGGCATGTCGATCATGTCAACCTCATCTTCAAAACTGCAAGGTTCCGTTCTCCTGCGGAAAGGTAGTGCACTGCAGTTGAAGATTTATAAACAACAGCGGGTTTGATATTTTGTACGAACGTGAGGGCAGAGTGGTTGGTCAGGAGTATGTCACAGCAGTAAAAGACAATCGGGACAATGACGTCACGAAAGTCGTGGAAAAAATATTTAATTACTCGAGTTTGAGGCAAGCTGAGTGGCGTAGTTAGTAATGAAAAACTATAGACAAGTTTGACCTTTTACAGCAACCTGAAAGTAGACAGGCTGATAAAGTGCGACTCAATTAGCGCCTCTCACATAAAGGGCTTTTCAAAAATTGAATGATCGGTTGCTGATTGATCAGGAGCCTATAAAAGGCCCTCACTTTAACACAGCGCAACGAAGGTTTAGATGGTGCTCCTGAATTTGCGACTAAAAATGGTGCAAGGCGTTCTTTTTATATATTGTCTCCCATACAAATTTGTTCATGTAGGACTGCAAAAGTGCGCTTTCCGTTCTATACCTTGCTTTGTGCTCCTGTTTAAACTTCTGCCACAGGGACTCAATCTTCTTTTTGTAAGCACCGGTCTCAGAATCAGTAAAGTAGAGGGTGTGGTTAACAGTCTCATGCTGATACTCCTACGGGATTTCTTTGGTGATGCTGTATGCCTCTTACTGGTCAGACACCGTAGTCGGTCCTTTCACAACATACTGCCTAATCAGTGGGAAAAGGATAACAGCATCTCTTTCTCCAATGCCCTCAAAACACGACTTTTTCTCTACCACCCTACCTCTATTGTACTTTCTCCTGGTAAGGAGTGTTTTGTCAATCTCCACTACCTTACCAAGACCCCCTATTCTTAAAAGATGTCTCCTTAAATGCTCCGTACAGAAATTTTTGAAACAGTCTATATAACCTACTAAAGTGTGGGAGCTGAGTTTGCACCGCCTTTCACAAACCATTTTACTTGCTACGTCTTCATATGTGAGCCTTTGGTGTTTGGCCCAATATGAATACATGCCAAAGACATCTTTTAAGCTCGAGCTGGTTTTTTGAAAAAATGTGCCGTTGTAGAAACCAAGTTTTTTGCGGCATTCTCTTCCTTTATATCTGAAATACTTATTATCCTTTACCCTACCTTTCTTAATCTCTGTGCATAGAGTCATACCCCCCTCCCCCGCAAAAACAAGCGCGTACCAGGAATAACAACTGAAGAGAGGCCATCCAATTGCCAAAGTCGTTGTCTGAAAACGCGGGCCTTTAATCAAGCGTTTTAGGATTCAAAGAAGTAAAAACATTTATATCTAACAATTTTTTTGAAACTAATGCTATAGTCGGTGATCTCGACTTATAAGGCAAGAGAAATCCTTGTCTGAGGGTAAGATAAGTACAAGATGAGCTGTAGTAGATCTTATTGTTCAATCTTACAGTCATGCAAAGGTTTCGCTGTGCAGGATTGTATTGCACATTTGATGGATTTGAAACCGGAGCTGACATCACCAGAAGCTGGACTGTTG